GCAATAGTCAAAGTGAGTTAGAATAAGTGGGGTAATAGTGGCGCGGTGCATTGTAACTCTGGCTACGGGCTCCCTTACCCTGCCCGTTGCGGTGTAGGGCTGGCAGAGCAGAAAAATATTTCGAATATAATTTGTTTGTGATTTATTTTTTTTGCGTTTTTTTTTGTAAATTTACCTTCTGACTGCATTTACTGAAAAAAATATATGTAGTGATTGTTTCTTAACAATGTAGTTAAACCTCTTTTGGTTTGTGTAATTTTCGTTTTTGCTCAAGTAGGTATTGACGTAGTTTACCGCGTTACACCTCTTAGTTACGAAATCATTGACAAGACTCGTTGGTTGATACTCAATAAATATAGTTCGTTTACATGTCCAATATAAATGGAATTAATTATTATAGGTACTACCTAACTGATTAATTCCGTTAAGGTAAAGCACAAAATATAGACTAGAAAGTTTTGTAGATGCCTAATTTACACTAGTGCCTAGTGCCCCAATTACTAAATAATGATTTTTGTGTTTTCATCAACATGACAAAAGAGTTACTGAAACTTATTTTTTAGACAACAGTATGAGCAAAAGATAGTTTCTAAAACAAGGTTTACGCAAGTCTAATTAATATACCTCTCTGCAGTAATTTTATAAAGATTCCCCTAAAAATATTACACTGGTACTATACAACTACTGAAAATTGTCACCATACCGGTACTATCAATGTCTACGACTAACCTTACTGCTTTAGAAATAAAATTAATATTTGAATAAAATAACGTACCCTTTATAAACACGTATAAAATAAATAAATACAATAATATATTTGAAATATTCAGCAGTATTTTTTGTTTATTCAGTATTTGTTTTACTATAATAATGAAAACGTTTATTTGCACAAATTTCCTCGTTGTGATAACCCTGCATCAAGAGCTGTACCGTGTCGAGGGCTATCGCTCGGTGTATCGAGCCCTCGCATGCGAACACGTTCCCAACGTTCCACGGTAGTATTTATTTTAAATACACCATTTTTTTTAATAAATACGGTAGTGCATTTTTTTATTAGTTTTCTTTTAGTTTTTCTTAGTAGTCGTTATTTGTGTGTGTTTAGTTTCTTAGATAAAGCTGTTGGTTTTTGATGATTGCTTGCTCAATTGTATTATTTTTAGGAAGCGATGTACCCATGGTATGAACCATTTCTGAATAAATATTAGACAAAAATTGATTTCATTGACTTTTAAGTTTATACTAATTTACTTTAAAAGTTAGGCAAAGATGTAGGAACGAGTATGGTCATTGGTCACCGTTTAAGAGAGTCATTCATACATTTGTAGGTTTACTTTTTCAAGTTATACGGTAAGCACTTTTTCCAAAAAATATTTTTACATTCCTCTATTACTTTGTTTTATACCGTTTGTGATATTTGTTAGTAACTATCAATAATATTTAGAACACCTAATAGGACATTATTTCACCTATTTTTAGGTAGCACTCAATTGTTATGAAAACAATGCAATAAAATAGATTTTTTATATTGTAACATAAAATGTATTTCTTTGTCACATTTCCATTCGTATTACATCAAGAGACAGCCCTAAGTTAAGGGCTCACAGAGGGTTATCACGGGTTGAATCGCACCCTCGACACGATCGCGATGTATGCACCCGCCAACCCTATTGCTAGTAGGATACGTTTCTTCATTTATTTTACATCTTTGTTGCTTCTTTAAACAGCTGATGTTAGTGTTTGATATTTGTGTTTAAAACTCGGAACAATAACTAAAGCATGGAAGCCAGGCTAAAATAGCAATTTACAAACATATATCTGATGCTCTCGCTCTTTACACGATTTTGCGTAGGCGAGAATGAGACCGCAAACTGAACATAGTTCTGATAATTTGCAGGTTGTCACAACTTTCAGTGGACTCATTACAATCTTATGTCATTGGACTCATTCAGCATACTACCAAATTCAAAATCACGTTTTGACGTTCTATGTTTCACTCAAGTTTGACACCTTCCTCACTTTGCCGGATTATAGTACTGAAGTGTCACCGTGGTTGTATTTACGGCTCCTGTTAATAAAAAATATTTTCTAAGGAATTAGCGCAAAAGAAAGGAAGAAAGAAAGTGTATGGTCGTTCTGTATTATGTGTTTTACATAATAAAAATACGTCTTGTGTGATTGACGGCTGCAATTCACATTTGGGAAGAAAAGAAAACAATGCTGAAATAATTCACTTTCATTCGTAAGTTTTTGATATGTTTTAAAATAAATTATACTGGAAATACCGGTAAACTATAAATAAATGTTACTTATTTACTGTCGTACTTTTCAATTGTAAGCCTAAACAGTATTATTCCATCTTTTCCTAAAAAATCTAAATCAATTTTCTAAGTTAGTTTTTAAGCTAGTGATGTGGTCATGTTACATATCGATATTTTAGTTAGGCTTTGAAGTTCTTTATAGTATAGACGTCGTTTAGAGCCCGAATCACATGATTTGACAGAACACGACTACTTTTTGTATCCATCATCTATTACGGGATATTCTAAAAATGTCATAGAATACATAATCGGCTTTATCGGAACGAAATTAAAAAATCTTTACAATGCGAAAAATGCATAGAAACTCTTGAGAACACGGAGAGTATTCCTTAAAGATCTTTGATATCTTTAAATATAGAGGAGGCCTATTTAAACCAACATATGGCTTAAACAAGATCTGTCAACTGTCCGAAAAAATTATAAGAGAATATCAAGTGCATATTGATTCAAAATCTCTCGGTAAACCAAAATAATTATTAGATTGATTAATAAAGTTTCAGCAAATGTGTTGCCGTCAGAAAATTTTCGTGAAAAATAGCAAGATTATTCATCAGAACAATCTTTCTATGATGATCACAGAAATCTTATAAAGTCCATAGCACAAAAATATTTAAAACTTAGGATATTATTACATTATATAACTAAAAATTTGACTGTACCTACCGAAAAAATTCGCACATAAAAGTCAATGATAAACACATAATAGTACACCACTACCACGGTTTGTAAATATGCTTTGTTTGTGAGCAATTAAATTATCTTATTAATATTGTGTTTTATTTCTGAACCCACGACATCCAGATTAAGACCTTAATGTACGTTAAACTACAGCAGCAATACTTTCAGGTACCATAATTTGTCGATAAAATATATTAATTTATTCCATCACTACCATATTTACAAGTAGTGACAACCTGCATAATAACGAAACGAAACAATACACATGTCTCTTTCTTATACACTATCAATACCATAAGTAAAAAAAAGATGAATATATGGATTGTAGTTGTTATTTTAGCCTGGCTTCCATGCTTTAGTTATTGTTCCGAGGTTTAAAAGCAAGGTTCGCCATTTGGAATTTTTTAGATTGTTTCAAATTGTGTGTTTAGTGGGAGTAGGCTAAATAATTGTGAATGTTATTAGAAATCAATTGAGTTAGACAGAACTTAAGTTTTTTATGAAGAGTATATATGGGACAGTTCTTTTGTAAGTGAATGTCTACCTGCTGGTATGTTCAAGATTTGTTGTTTATAAGAGTTTGTATCGATCTCAAATATTTGAAGATTTAATTATTATCAAACACTGTTGAATGAAAACCTATTTTAATCCATGTATTTTTTACATTAAGTTTTATTATACTAAAAATTCTGATTATACCTATATTTTATTTAATCCAGCCCAAAAAACATTGTTCCATTCCAAAGAAATACAATTTAAAAAATAATAAATTAAAATCATTTCACATAAATCCACAAACAAGGTTGAAAATAGAAGGTAAAATAAGCGACATTTTAGCGGCCCATCAGATACGAGTGAAACAATTTAGCGCTATCAGATGAGGGAGGCGTTATACGTGAAATCGGCCGCACCTCACCTGAATTAAACGTTTACGTTAATTATACGGTACGGTTAACGTTTTTAATGTTGACTTATTACGGTGTTGATGTTTAGTGACTTGCGAGTTTGCGTTTACAGATTTTTTTGTGGTGTCGATGAAGGTGTTGTCTTTGGGATGTTTTTGTTTTTTGATGGTTTGATAAATTGTTTTCTACTTATTTTTATATTAAAAGGAAAACGCTTTATTTGTATTCAAGCTTAGAGTATTTAACATCCAAATTATAGTCGTTGGGTCCCTAAAAGATTTTATTTCTCTATTGTTGGTGTTAGAAATGATACTATTTAATAGTTTAAAGAAAGGTTAAGCATGTGGTACGTTTTTAGTTAACAAGTTTACTTAAAATTTTATTGTGTTTTAATATTTAAACAGCTGCATATAATTTATAATATATTAACTTGTTTTTAGTAACTGTTATGTATATTTATAGGTATTTTTTCGAGTTAAAATACTACTTCCATTTGCGTATAAAATTGTGATAAAAAAATGACTATTAGTTAAGTAAGAACTCATCTTAGTTATTCTGATCCAAGTTACTATAACAAATTACGACATTAAAGACGTCTGTCACATAAATTAAATTCTCACAAGTATTAGTTCAGTCGCTACTGCCTACACTCGTACAATTAAGGGTAGGTAATGTGTTTAGCTTCGCGCCATTACGTATTCTGTATCCGACCTAATGTCGCGGTTATTTGCAGACTCGCTCATCTTATTGACGTGATTCGATTACCTGAGATATGCCAAACGAGGGAGGAATACAACCTCTCCACAAACAAACCGAATCAACCTCAAACCTAACATACAACGTTACCACTATCCAACTCATCAATATTTAACAACACACATTATGAAAGCATTTCGTGAAATGGTTTTACGAGCGTGGGATTTGTGCGTAAACGATATCGTTTTAATCTTGAACACTTCTTCAGTTTTTTCGCTGAACACCGCTGAAATAATAATGCCGCATATTCCCATAAATCGTAAGTAAAATTGCGTCCAACGCGTCGACTTACAAACTATAAAGTTTACGGAATATAAACCTTTGTAATCAAGTGGCCACTTACCACATCGGTCGGACGAGGGCCGACATCGCTATAAAACGGAGGGGCGAGTCCTCATTGCGCACTAAAGTTTTTATTTATTTATTTATATTTATTCACGAACTCACTGACTATTTAAATAATATAAAAAAATCACTGCACTAAAATGCACTTGCGACTATTAAATTTCGATGCGTAGCATACCGGAGTTCGTAGCACAGCGTAGCGCGTCTACGACGGAAAAGTTTATCCGTAGGCCGTGGTCGGGCGGCAGCGAACGCAGGAGCTCGCTGCGCGGTGCGGGCAGCTCGCGGGGCGCTATTCGCGGACTATGCGGAGGTCGGCAGCAGGCCGGGCTGGCGGGGAGGGGCGCGGGCGCGGGGTGCGGGGGTACTGCGCGCGCACGCCGCCGCCCACGCCGCCCCGCCCCACACACCCGCAACCTATTTATTTCTAGTTACGTAAAATTTACGCGCAATACCCGATACTGCATTTAGCTTATGTTACGATCTCGTGTGCCAGTATATAAGGAGTAATGAAAATGTGGCTCTATTATGAGCCGACTTCCACGCTCCGCCCGAAAAAGACGGCAACATTCATCCGCTGCGCCATACATTCAAGAAAATGCGATACGCAAGGCTATGTAACGAATGGTAGGTATATAAAGAAATATACGCCCTCTCGAATAAAAAGCTTTTAAGAGTTTCGACACCAGTACCGGTCAAATAAAAGGCAGACGATTCAACATTAAACGCCAATCAGTGCATTTCACGCCAGGCCACTTCTGGCCCCAGGCAGGTGAGGCGTGAACTGAAAAAAGAAGTCTCCGCCGGTCGCCGGTCGCCGGGGGGACGACGTCAAATTTGGCAGACGAGTTTTTCAACCGCAGTCGATGGTATCGATGTCACTTAAACGAATTGAATAAACGCGTCGGATGGGCAGAGGTCTATCTGAGGGCCTTTTTGTACTGACACAGCTGTCCATCGTGATTTTATCGTTGATTCAACAAATCCCAAAATGTCTGCATCCTATTTAAAGCTCCCCGCTTACGTTGCTTCCAAGTTATTTCAATAGAATGTGCTCTACTTAGTCAGTAATGTTGACTTTTACAGCCGCAGTTTGTTGTTATGTTACGAGTACATTCGGTACATGAATTAAAGCAAAAGTTCGATAAACTGTGTCGTCACAATCAGCTGTTGGCGCCGCGAGCGCAACAGACAATGCGATTAAGATCTACGCAGGACAACTTTCGCCGGCGCGCCGAGCGGCAGTTAGTTGTTATGAAAGAGAGAAATTTGTAAATTGTTCGCGCCCGAGTTCGCGAACTCCGTCGAACCGGAGTTTGTTTTAAGAGTCCAACCTTGAAACAAGAAGAAAAGTAGTCCTGTAAAACAAAGTTTTGCGGCCGCCGTCGCCGGCGCAAGCGGTTCAAGGATTGTGCCCGAACTGTCTGTCTGTACAACTTTACCGATTAAAAGCTCAAAAGCTTCCAAAGTCATTTTAAAAGTTTATCTGCACGCGGGCGCGGTGCGCGGGGTGGCGGGCGGAGCGTAGGCGCCGGGTTCGTTATCATCCCACCGCAATACTTTAGTTAAAACCTAGTTTAACTTATTTATAAATCGGCGGTCGTCGGCCGCGACGGGCCTCCTTCCGAATTAAACTGTCAAACTTGTGAAGATGCGTCGTCGACGTCGACGGACGCGCGTCTCCTCACGACATGTGTTCGCACCGCCGCGCGCCGCGCCGCCGAATACTTGCCAACGTACACACTAAGTTCCTAGACCCTTCGCTACTTTGTTTTACAGCTGTTCCACTTAGCGAACTATGCCTCGAGTTGGGCGCGAGTTCTTGCATGTGTATTGGCGGCACACACCCGCATCCGAATAGTTTCATAAACATAACCCAACTTAGTTTTGGACGACTTTTCAAAGTCAATGCATACTAACTTTCGATGTCTGGGAGTGCGATATTACGATTGGATCAGTTCGCGGTGACTTTAATGCATTCGTTTGTTCGAACTTTGTTTTATTGGATCAAACTTCGCAACAAGGTTAAATAACTGTCTTTGTTTACATTTTTTTCGCGGAATTAAAAGTAAATGGGATTAATAAAAGTTTGATATTAAGTTTGTCATGTGTTTTGATTGTTAAGGTCGTGTTTTGTTTTAAAGAAAATTTTTGGTCATAACTTTTTGAGCTCTAACTTCTGCTGGCTTGAGTACATAATTGTATATAGTATAATGACATAAGTCCTATGTATATTAATTTAATACTCAGCTCATAGTTTTCTATATGTATAACTTGTAGATTTGCTTTTAGCAAAGGATCGCTTGTATTGAGTGCTGTTGTAAAACTTTTCGGTTTTTCGCTGTTGGCATATAGGTACAACTATAAAATTATGGTGTACATTTGTACATTTTATTTACGTTGTTAAAACACTGGAAAAAGTTAACGGAGTTATTTTTAGTTAGTAGTAGGTAGAAGTGAGTTACCATTAGGTAATTTAGTTTTTAGTTAAGTTGACTTGACTACAGAAACAAAATCATCGTCATAAGTGCATATGCGTCCAATTCTGAATATAAACGTGTCGATCGTCGATGATCTAAGACGTGTGATTATTGTCACAAACCCTACACGTCTCACGGCACTGGTATATCGTTTTACCCAACTAGTGAATTAATACTTGGCCTGACTAGGGCACTAATCTACTAATACTAATCGAATTCGAGACCCCTAGCCAGCAGCACTAGCGACCACTCGGCCAATAAATGATCTCTTACGTATATCCTTGTACGCACTTTTGTCTCCTTTCAAAACGAGTACCTCTATAGCCGGTACCTAGATAGATATAGGTACAATTAAAAACGGCGAATAATTTCCATAATAAATTTCTAAACCTTCTGTTCCACATCGAAAAACAACACGGCACCTACATTCATAATCAGTGTAATTACAGAATCTCAGTCGGAAAGTCACGATCAACAGTCAAGTGGAAGATAAAGCTGCCATAGCCCTCCGAGCGATGTATTTGACACCATTTTAACATGGCCTCTCATTTTCCAAGAGAACATTACGTATGTGGGAGTTAAAGGAGGTCTGTTTATTATGGTGGTGTTATCTTCGTTCACCAATAAGTCACGCAATAATTACTGGGAGCAGATCACGCTTCCTGTTCTCATATTTATGGGTACCGTCCGTAAGTACACGTAAATAAGTGCGATGTAACTATTGTAGCGGTTATGGTTGTATCACTTGTATCTGCCGGGGGCACGCGAACTTACTTTGTTGGCCGTGTTTGTTTGTTATGACATAATGTTTTCTATCGCGGTGGTGTGGTTGTGTTCTTTGTTTTTTGGGTAATAGTATTGAACTGACTTTTTTTTTAAGGGGGAAAATCCTCCTATGACTTCTCCCGCCCGGGTCAGAGCGAGAGGGAGTGTCAGACTCTTACTGACTAAAAACCATCCCGTTCCTACTCCTGCACTTAGAGCCGGAGCCCCGGTAACCCGTTAAGTTCTCCGCGGCTCTCTGTATGAAACAAATAGGTTGTTTTCTCTTGTATAGAAGCATTATTTTTATGGATTGTCAGTATGCATATGTGTGAACAAAATGTTAGACTATATTTAATTTTTTTATTGTTAGTAAGTGTTGTAATTTGTATTACGCGTCAAGCGTGTCGTTACATAGTTCTTGCATATATGTACAATATTGGTTGTTGTATCGGAGAGATTGTAAAACATATATTTTTGTTTAAAGAGTAACGAATGGAGTTTCTTGGTCGTTCTTCTCCATTCGAATCTCATTTTGAAACAAGCACCTTACTTCACTGACAAACAGATTGACATACTATTATTTATTTGTATTTGTTGATATTTCAAAAGTACGAAACTATGGTGTAATTTGAAATAAATGCCTTGACTTTGATTTGATTGGCTGAACCGATTTTGTTGCGGTTTTAAGAAAACTATTTATTACACCTAGTAGTAGAAGGTTTTAGTATATTAATAAACCGAATTAAATTTAAAGAAAAATAATTATTCATTGTTGTATTAAGATGTAATTTTCTTTACTTTTTTTATTTCATTACGATAACATTAGGATAAGAATATACTTATTTTTTTGTTGGCTTTACTTCAATTATGTGTATATTATGCTCTATATAGCGCTAGCTTTAGTCCTACAGACACAATATATTATTTGGTTTGAAAGCTTCGAAGTCAGTTACCTATCTTCTTCAATGATTTTATAAAGAACCAATAATGGTGGTTTGTACTCACGGTTTTGATGTCGACGGCCGGAATAGCTTGTGTGTTATCTGTACTTCGAATTCATTCTGAAACAAGAAGAAATACAAATTAATGAATTGGTAATTAAGACAAATCCAAAAAGATTAGCGATAATACTAAAAAAAAAGTTAAATATAATAGATAGACTAGCTGACCCGGCAAAATTAGTACCGCCTAAAAAGTTTTAAACCTTCCCTGGACTTCCGCGAACAAAACCAAAATTACCCAAATCGGTTCAGCCGTTCTCAAGTTTTAGCGAAACGAACGAACAGCAATTGATTTTTATATATAGAAGATATAAATTTATATAAATAATATATACGAAAAGGTAATTAGTTCAGACATTTATAGGGTCGATTATCAAAAATTTAGATAACAATGACACTGAGAATTTCAATAATCAAAATCCAGTCCCGATTTAGAAAATAATATTCGGACATCGCGCTCTAAACATGTGTTTAATAAACCACAACCAAAAGAAAATATTACATCACACAAACAGTCCCACACTACACTATCAAAAAGCAATTAATATCAAATCTATCTACCTATTAACAGAACACAAAATCGTGTGTTTACATTCAATAACTATTTCATGCGGGGAAGGGTGGAATTAGTAAATAATCCTTTATTTTGGTACGGTATCAGATCTGTTGACTTATGTGAAAACGATGGTATTACGTGTGAACAAAATGTGACTTTAATTGAAGTTACCTCGTCACAAACACTTGGACTAGTAGTGACATTAGCTGGTTTTGTATTGTT